GCTTCGGACCCCCAGGCCCTGGCGCGGCTCGCGGCGGGCCCATGGCTTCCTGGGACTCTTACCTGCCCGGAGCGGACTCGAGGGGACGCGGCTACACGTTCTGCTCGACCGCCCGTTTTGCCGCCTCCGCCTCGCCCTCCCCAGCGCCGCTGCCGCCATCTTGTGTCCCGGGCCGGGACTCCGCGCTGCGCATGCGCTGGGACCGCCTCTGCGGGGCCTCGCCACGGCCTCGCCGCCATCTTGAGTGTGGCAGGGGCCGCTGGCTCGTCAGACCGTGCTTGCTTTCGGCCCCCTTCCCTTCCTCCCGTCCTTCTCCTCTGTTCCATGGGGCTCTGGGGAGAGGGAGACAGACTTGCTGGTCCTGGAGGGCGGCCTGAGCAAGAAATGAGCTCACAAGGACACCCCCGCCTCAGTTTCCCCAGTGAGCAAACCCGCAGTGACCGGAGAACCTGGGTGGGCGGTGCGGCGGCAGGGTTGGACTGAGCGTGCGCACTAGGGGTCGCGGGGCAGGCTTAGAACCTGCAGGGGAGCGGGCTCGTGCGGCCGCTGGCCCAGGGGCGGAGTCCTGGTGACGTAGGCTCTGGACGGAGCGGGGTTTTGGGTCCTATCCCCCATGGGAGTTCCGCTTTTGGCGAGTCTCGCTTTCTCCGGGTCACTGCCCTGTTGGGTGCCATATGCTATCCACCCTTGCCCCACGTCAAGGCTTATGTGCAAATCAAACCTTCTCGCATCGTGAGCCTAGCCAAGTTGTAAGTGCTGTTGAGCAGGAGAAATTTAAGACAGCTTTGGGGACATGTGAAAAAGACTTTGGGCAAAGTTAGAACATTCTAAACGAAATGTACCGAAGGAGCGTTCGGACACCGTCACAGGCTTGGCCATTAGCTGCAGTTCAAAGCCTACGGGAAACCTCCAGCCGGCTGCAGCGCTTAGCCTCGCAGGAGACGGGCAGTTGTTGGGTGCTCCTCGCCCGGCTCCCTGCGGGATTCTTTGGTAGGGCCTGCGGGCATCTCTGAGTAGGAGCGCCACCCACCTCTGGCCTCCCAAGTAAACAGCTTGAGAGGAGGACAAGTTTGCCACCTGCTGTTAGGCCGGCACTTGTGTGGAGCCCGAGGCTGCAGATGCCCCCCTGGGCGCCTCTGAGATGTTCACGGTCCTGGTTGCAGGCAGCTGGGGGGCGGGCAGTGTCATGTGAATAGTAATTAAGACCTAGCTTCCCTGCCAGTTCTCATCTAGTTTCAAATCCCTTCTTCTCCACCCTAGAGGTCTGGCCTTGAAGGAGTTGAACTCTAAACTTCAGTTTCCTCAATGGAAGATAATAAACCTGTCAACCTCATAAACGTTTGGTGAGAATTAATGGGGCTGATGCATGTATAAGTACTCAGCATAGTACCTGGCACTTTGTAAGTGCTTAATGTTAGCTATTATCACCTCATGGGGTTATGAGGATTGCTCCAAGCAAATTTGAGTTTTTTGTTTTGTTTTGTTTTTTGAGTTGAAGTCTCACTTGGTCGCCCAGACTGGAGTGCAGTGGCCGCTCCCGGCCACCGCAACCTCGACCTGCTGGGCTCCGGCGATCCTTCCACCTCAGCCTTCCAAGTAGCTGGAACTACAGACATACGCTACCACGCCCGGCTAATTTTTTGATTTATTGTAGAGATGAGGTCTCGCCAAGTTGCCCAGGCAGGTCTTGAACCCGCGGTCTCAGGCAACCCACTCACCTCAGCCTCTCAAAGCACTGGGATTACAGGCTGAGCCACTGAGCCTGACTTCCAAGAAGATTTGAACCCTCCAGAAATGAGCCAGCTCTACGTGGGCACAGAAGGTGCAACTGTTTGTGCCCTCACAGAATTTACAGTCGGTGGGAAGCCGATGCCTAGGTCCTACCTCTGACCTGCACTTGGGAACAGGTCTTGGTTTATGCCTGCTGTCCTGGCATAATTATATTTTTTCTTTTTTTTTTTTGTCTGTATTTAATACTTTCTTAAGTGTTTCTCATAGAGGTGGTCTGGAGGCGGCATAATTATTAATACTGCCTCCTTCCTCAGAAGTGACCTCTTTGGGTAATTAATTATATGGTCACTGTATACCTACAGAATGCTCAGTTTTACGAGCTCTCCAGCTAGTTCTTTTCTTTTTTTGAGTCGACTCTCACTCTGTCACCTGGGCTGGAGTGCAGTGGCACCGTCACGGCCTACCGCAGCCTTGACCTCCTGGGCTCAAGTGATACTCCCTTCTCAGTCTCCCGAGTAGCTAGGACTACAAGCACGTGCCACCATGCCTAGCTATTTTTCTATTTTTTTATAGAGATGGAGGGCTCACTTTGTTGTCTAGGCTGGTCTTGAACTTCTGGCCTAAAGCAATTCTCTCGCCTTAGCCTCCCAAAGTGCTGGAATTACAGGCATGGGCCACTCCCTGTCTCCCAGGTAGTTCTTATTTACATGAACGTGTAAAAGCCGTGTAATGGTTGTTGTCCTTTTAAGTTTTCAAAGTATTATTCATTGTTCAGATTCTCTAACCAAGGTACCAAATATCCAAAGTGCGTATTCCTTTTTCCTGGAATCCTGGGTGTAGGATTCTGCGTGTGAAGAAACTGAGGCTGGAGGGAGGGGGCAGGGTGAAACAATTGTCCAGGTTCACATAGACATGAAGTGACAAGCCCAGGGTTCCCAACACCAAAGCCCGAGACTGGTTCCATGAAGCCACACTGGCTTCCCTCTCAGGACAAGAGGAATCCGGATTGGGGAAGCAACTTGTCTGAGTTGACACGATGGTCCTGGCCGTTTCCACTTCTGTATCTTACAGGTTTCTCTCCCTCCTTAGTGTTAAGCACTGTGCTTCACCTCGTGTGCTTCCCAGCCTCTCTTCTCCTAATAGATGCCTTATCCCCTCCTGTCTGCCCACTTTCCACATAGGATCTATGGCAGCCTCTTCTCTCTGTCCTCATTTCCACTACTTTACAGCAATCCCCATTATATCTTAAACTTTTTAATTGTTAAGAACATGGCTCTCGGTTTGGCAGCACAAATACTAAAATTGGAACAATACAGAGATTAGCATGGCTCCTGCGTGGGGTGACACAAATTCATGAAGTATTCTATATAAAATGTTTTTAAATAAAAGAATAAGGCCAGGTTCGGTGGCTCAGCCTGTAATCCCAGCACTTTGGGAGGCTGAGGTGAGTGGATTGCCTGAGCCCGCGGGTTCAAGACCCGCCTGGGCAACTTGACGAGACCTCATCTCTACAATAAATCAAAAAATTAGCTGGGCGTGGTAGCACGCGCCTGTAGTTCCAGCTACTTGTAAGGCTGAGGCGG